GTTTACAAAAATAAAAGGAAAAAAATCCAGGAGGCCGATGGTTCAAGGCAGCAACACGGCAGGTTACAACCACTCATTCAGTGACTGTTCAAACTTGCAGCAATGCTGAATGAGGGGGACTTACAACAGGTCCTTGGAGTTCTGGTCGTCACAGTGTCCCCATAGTCACATGATCACGATCCAGGTGCTTGGATTGCCATCATAACCCAAGGACTACCTGTAATGTTTTGCAGAATCTGGAATATAAGATTATTTTTTAAAGGCTACTGGAATGGAATGTGAGAATGACCTTGGAAGATGAGGGGAAGAGATGCTGCCTAGGGAACAATGAGATAAAAGGGGGAGGAGCCCGCAACTGAGTAATGGGCAGAGAAAGAAATTTAGAAAGGACCCGTCCTGACTGATCAGGCAGTAAAAAGGGACAGCGGGAGATTGTACTTTCAGACTTGCAAGATTCTGCTAATGTAGCCTGGCAATAAAGTAGAATTAGCTCGTCTGGTTGTGTTTCCTGTCTGGTTTACCTGGGAAGGCTGACAGCTACACAGAGGGGAAATAAGCAATAGAAGACAAACTTGAAACAGTGCAGAGCTTTTCTGAATCCTAGTATGTTTTAAAATATAGGAGCCAAAGTATAGGACTAATAGCACTGAAGCTTGTAAATAGGTAACTGACAGAAGTAGGTGTCACAGAATTTCTCTGCTATATCTGATTTCGGCAGTTTTCTTAGAATTTCATTATTTTTTCCATAATTATATTCCTAGCCCTTTCATAGTGCAATTGGAAGTAAATTTCACAGTTCACCAATGGAATGTGGCTACCTGTGGGAGATCAAGGCTGTCAGGAAGGAGTGGGTGCATTCCAGGAGGGGAAAGGAGACAAGAGGTAGCACAGTCCACAGGGGGAGCAGGGAAGACTAAGAGATTCAGGATAGCCACTCCCTAAAATCTCACAGGGTATATCCACTAGTTGCTGTAGTACAGATTTAGTTTGGCAAGATTCTGTCTGTAAGGTGTAAGCAAATAAAGGAACTGTACTAGGCTGGACTGTTTCATCATTGTTCTTGGGCTGGACCTGACATCACCTTTCTCCTAACCAAATGCATCAACCACATGGTTTTTAATTGACTAATGGTGGACTTCATTCCTGATTTCCCTGCATTAGTTTGTTGAACAATTCCTGTTCTAACACACACAGCCCATATATTTACTATAGCACGTACAAGAATGGCTCTGTTTCATACTTTATATTGGATATCAAACTTCACTAAAAATGGGCCCACCGCAAATCAATTTACAAAATGAAAAATCTCTCATGCTCATTGTTCATTTAGTTGATGGCATAGAGGAATTTAATGAAGAACACATTGAGGCTCACCAGATCAACAAACATCTATTTAGTTAATGATAATGTTTAGCTAACAAGAGTAAAACTGCTGATAACCTTATCTTCCATGTCTTATCACCCTTTGAAGCCATCTTAGTTGGGAGCCATCATTATGCGTACAGTTCCTCTACATCAGTGTTTCTCAACCCTGGCAACTTGAAGACGTGTGGACTTCAGCTCCCAGAATTCCCTAGCTA